TCTTCCGAATTATTTGTTCTACTGTAATTTAGCGCTTGTAGAAACACTTTCATTCTTTCTAGGACTTTATTTTGGTCGTTCTCACCATGTTATTATGTTTAGGAATGTGTAAAGCTGGTTTTGCCGGCGATGATGCACCAAGCGGTTTTTCCATTAATTGTTGGTCGTCCACGTCATCAGCGTGTAATGGTTGGAATGGGTCAAAAAGACTCATACGTCAGTGATAAAGCGCAGTCGAAACGTGGTATTCTAACGTTGAAATATCCAATTGAACACGGAATTGTTACTAACTGGGATGATATGGAAAAAATTTGGCATCACACTTTTTATAATGAATTACGTGTGGCACCTGAAGAACATCCCGTTCTGTTAACAGAAGCACCGTTGAATCCGAAAGCAAATTGTGAAAAAATGACACAAATTATGTTTGAAACATTCAGTACACCTGGTATGCCAATACAGAGAAAAGAATAATGAATTGATGGATAAAACTAATTGTTTTTGTCTTATTTTTAGCCATGTACGTTGCCACTCAAGCTGTTTTATCTTTGTATGCAAGTGGTCGAACAACCGGTATTGTGATGGATAGTGGTGACGGTGTGACACATACAGTTCCAATTTACGAAGTACGTGAATTCTTTAAAATAAACAAAATCATAGCACTCTTCTTTTTTATCGTAGAGTTATGCATTGCCACATGCCATTCTTCGCCTGGAATTGGCTGGTCGTGATTTGACCGATTATTTGATGAAAATCTTAACTGAACGTGGCTATTCATTTGTAACAACAGCTGAGCGGGAAATTGTACGTGATATCAAAGGAAAATTGTGCTATGTTGCATTAGATTTTGACCAAGAAATGGGTACTGCAGCATCGTCATCTTCGTTAGAAAAGTCCTATGAATTATCAGGCGGACAAGTAATTACAATCGGAAATGAACGATTTCGTTGTTCAGAAGCCGTGTTTCAACCATCATTTTTAGGCATGGAAACAGCTGGTAAGTTACTGAGATTTTGTTATTTACTCAATCCTAACTAAGCTTTCGTCTCCCTCTCTTCATTGTTAGGAATTCATGAAACAACATACAACTCAATAATGAAATGTGATATAGATATTCGAAAAGATTTATATGCCAACACAGTTTTATCTGGGGGTACTTATTTTGTCTTTTTCACAGAGGGAAAGATATCACATTGTTCTCTTTAGGTACAACAATGTATCCAGGCATCGCTGATCGAATGCAAAAAGAAATAACATCCTTGGCACCATCAGCAATGAAAATAAAAATCATCGCACCACCCGAACGAAAATATTCTGTATGGATTGGTGGAAGTATCTTAGCATCATTATCAACATTTCAGCAAATGTGGATTTCAAAACAAGAATATGATGAAAGTGGACCGACTGTGAATGTAGCCACGACTCTACTCTATCTACAATATGAATTTCGTGAGTTGGGAGTTAGTAGTCAGTTAAATACAGTTATTTTACGGGCAAGGTTCGCGGTTTTTTGTTGAAAGTTCGAGCTCCTTTGCGAAAAAAAATTCACAACTCAATCTAGGAGCATCATTTTGACTTCAAATTCACATCAAAGGCTCTACAGTGTCTGCAGATGATCTAGCCAAAGTATGAAGATTAACTATTGTGTGCTTCTGGAAATTCATTGAGAACGAGCACCCACGATTGAAACATACGTAGAAGATCGAGGGCGGCGAACTAAGGGTCACTCTTTATACTACAGAATTTGCATGCAATGTACATCATAACCATGAAAAAATAATCATAGAAACCTATGATTCCGAAAAGCGTATGGGAAACTTTTATCAGAAAGATTACCTACTCACCTCTGACCTTCGCCATTTCACTTATTTTGCGTCCTTTCCACTTTCGTTATATTTTCAAGCAAAAATAATAACATATTTGAGATCAGCAGACAAAACTCGGTCTAACAGCATACTTAACATTCGGTTCTCAAACAAACAAAATTTTATTGATAATTTTCTCTCTAGTGGGAAGACCAGACGTATATATACGTCTCCCGTCGCCCAAGGGTTAATTAACTTATTGGTAAAATACCGAAAGCATACGCTGGGCTTAACGTGTGGCAGGACAGTGAATGAAGTACAATGGTGTATATATGGGGATCCCGGAATAGCTTTCATAGACGAAAAGGCAGGAAATAACAAACTTGAACTGAAATACATTAGATTCTTGTAAACGTATGTCTTCATACATTCCTACACTAAATACTGTACAACTATGATGTTTGTTGCTTAAAGTACGTGATAAAAACTTAAGCTTTTCCTTTTTCTGACTTTTTTCGTCAATCACGACAGCTAAGACAATACTAAACAAAATGGAGTTCACTTCGATGAACAACCAGGCTTTACTCCTAAACGAGGTAGCAGATCACACGCATTTTGTCACTAATTGAGGATTTACGCCTATTAGTGTCTGCATGTAATAGACCGGCGCTGGTAATTTTTGTGAATTTCTTGTCAGCATTCGATAAAATGCGGCATCGTGCTTTGTTAAGAACGTTTAATGAGCTTAATTTATTAATTACGTGGATCTGTCCGATATCAGTTGACGGCAGGAAGAATGTATCGTTCTATCAGAGCGTACTTGAGGATACAATCTTCGTTCTTAAGCCAATGGTTAGAATTTTTACGTATTAACAGCGAGATGAATAACTCCTAGCCAGTCCGACAAAAGACAACAAAGAAGCTGTTAAGAACCCAGAGAGAAATTGGTATCGACTATTAGGTTTGCGCAAAAATAACAGAGTTTTAAACCGTTTCTCTCTACATGCGAAACATTCTAAAATCGATATTATTGATTTTATTTCGAACCACATCAATATGCGTACTATAGGAATTCTGCTTCACTCTTATGCATATTTGTATATAAGTGTTTCCTTCAACCTCCCTAACTTTTGTCGAATATCTCTACTTATATAGTATTGAAGTAACCTTCCTAGTTTTTATTGTTAAAACAGAATATGTGTATATTAGGAGATAACAATATGTGTAATACGAAGTTTTTCATTACATATATGAACACTTTTTTTGCTACTTTGTAGTTTATTTCGGTCTTTTCTATTATCAGAGTAACAATTTAATATTTTGTGCATCCACAGACAAAAAAAAATTTGAAATCCTGCGTACCATCGCAAGAGTTTGTAAAAATCCTGTGGATGTCAGTTATATCCTGCAGGTTTTGGCAACATGAGGCCCACTGAAAATTTTCCTCAGTGTTGTCGGATATAACTTGCACGATACTTTACTCTGCTAACCCTGCGGAATTTTTTTCTCCCTGTTATGAGTTATAGCACGCTAGATATCTTAGTACGCTGACCCTACAAGATCTGTAGGATTTTATTCTGAAGAAAAGAAACAGTAGCTCGCAGGAAAAGTTATTACAGAGCCGGCGTGGAAGCAAATAAAGATAAAAAATATATTCTTTAAGATAAAAAGACCGTTAAAACTGTTCAGAAGAAGCTGAGAGAACGTTCCATAATATATTCCGTTTGCTATTGCTCTATTCCGCAGTAGCCACAGAATATTTCATTTTATACTACTATACATGCAAAACGCATACACGATTGTTTTGTTTTAGGTGTGTGTTAGCAGCTAATAAAAAGCTAAATATGTGCCCTTGCCAGGATTTTTGATCAGGCAGAAAGGAAAAAAAGAAGAAGAAAAACGCAGAAAACGATAATTCTTACATTGAACCTTCTTCAATGTTACTATAAAAAAATTACCCAGCTCAAAGGAGGCCGGGTCTTCGTTCCGAGCTGGCGAAACACGGTATCTGAGATTGCATGTTCTCGATACTCGTGGCCAAGAGCCTCCAAAAAAGTTGAATTAAGCCAAAATAAATGGAAAGAGAGTTCTCAAAGATAAAAGCCAACTAGACTCTGAGGAAGCGCATGAGCAAAATAGAAATATCTGCCGGCTTTGTAAGCAGTAAAAAAGGTTTTTCGTACTCATTGTAGTTGGATTTAGCTGAGTTTTATGCATACTAATGCAAAAATGCATAGAACTGAAAAAGTGTGTAATTTCGTCACGAAATAAAATAAACATTTTATTCGTCTGGAAAAGCGTTTTGCAAAATTTTTTTTTACCAGTCGATAGCCCGAGAGGCGCTCTACAAAATGTTTTCTAGGATGATTCAGATTGGATCCTTAACTTCGCAAGAAATTACAGTTTTACCAGTAAAACAAAAAATTTGCGGAATTTTTTTGTAATTTCGTCACACTCCGTAACATTGCTCTGAAACCTTGACATTAATTCCGAGAAAGTTAATTTTTTTACTATAGCTGGACGTCCAAAAGCTGCGTCGAATGACGCTGGAATCAACTTTCAAACTCGTGTAGTTCGCAAAAAAACTAGAGTTTTGTGCGTCACCGCGTGTGCTTACGCCCGTCACACCTCAGTGCGGACAAATACATACACAAACACTTTGAGTTTTTCGTATGACCATAGATTTACAGTCAATGGAATAAATTGCTGATTTCTTTCTTTTTTTTCAAATAAATAGCTTATATCAAATGCGAGAGAAGAGAGTATACCACTTATCACTCCGTCCACTCCGGAGTGAACCGGAGTGGAGGAGTACAGTGTTTCCCCCTTGTCTGCGACACACATGTGTGTCCATCCAACAAGTTTTTGCTCAGAGAAACCTACTAATCTTACATGATTCGATGTAGTTTCTTGCGCTGATTCCACATATGTCGTTTTTATTTTATTGAATAAAAACGTCTCTGAATCGAGACAAATCGAAAATACCTGAAAAACCGAGGGTTTTTTAGAAAACCTGCTGTATGTGTTAGAAACATTTGCGCATTCACCATAGATACAAAGCATGTTGACGAACATTTTGCCAAAGTTTGGTCGAGCTTCGAATTGGGCTGTGGAGGGTGTGCTCATTTTACTGAAAATAGCCGTTCGGAAAATCACTTTAGAAAATTTTTGTAAAATTTTCTCAGCTCTTATACGTCCAAATTAAAATTTTTTTTACTAATCTATAGCCGAGACCATTTATCTCGTTTTTGATTACAACTCCATTGACGGTTGTGAAAATTACACTTTTCTCGTCGATACCACTCTTTTGAAGCTATTTTTTGGTTTTTTGGTTATCTGTTTTCCTATGATTCCCAGATTTTGTAACAACAATTTTTATGCCATCGGATAGAGCATCACTTGAAGTATATAAATCACTATTTAAATCATTCGAAAGTCGATTTTCATTTTTCGCCCTAATGTCTGCCTTGATACACACTGTGACACATGTCGCGAGATCACAAGCATAAGTATTTTTTAAAGATCAATTATTATTGTTTTATTTGAGAAACAGATTTTATTGGATCACACATGCGCGATTTATTCTATGTTACAAAATTAATTTGTTGTTAAAATTATGTTAGTCAGTTGTTGTGCATATTTCGTACAGAACGGAAGAAACATTTTGCCATAAATATATTAGAAGAATATGTAAAAGCTGACACAGTTAACACAATTCAGAAATAATACCGGCATCCGTTTTCTTGTCAATATGAATTGTAATATGTTCATGGGTATTTGTGCAATATTATTTGCAGCAAATATTTACAGTATTCATGGTGACGCTTATGTCAAAACAATAAGTCAGCAGAAGAAACAGGCTTGTAGCTGTGCTAAAATAAGTAAGTGTATCTGGTTTGTTAATAACGGTAAATGCAGAAAGCAGTTGCAAGCAGTATTAATTTCATATAGACGAACACCTGAGGAAAAGACCCAAATGTGAAGTAATGATCCACTTATCAGATCTACCCATATACATGAATCATTTGCAACTTTATTGTACAATTAGTGAAAAAGAATGAAAGTGACTTTAAACAAAATTTGATTAGTACATCTTGTTCTCGGTTGTTTTCTGAGTCTAGAACCAAAATTTCCCGCCTAGCACATGCGTAGCGGCTGAGATAAACCCTTCGGCAGGTTCCGTTCTCTAGGTTTTAGGCCATAATGATCTCGAAGAGATTTATCGATCCATACCATATTTAACTTAGTCTGAAGTAGCTTCAATCTATACAAGTTTTCTCCAGAGCACCCAAAGAACTCCCGAGGTTTACAAACACTTCTGAACTCTAGACAACGTCTCGTAATTTGATTTGGTTTTATCTGATCCCCAAAGAACCCCAGAGGTCTAGCCATATTTCGAAATTCCAGACAATGCTCAGGCGTCCCTAACGGTCCGCGCACGCAGCCAGAATAGGTGTTACAGGTCTCTGATTCCACCAGAAAACGCGAGCACATCTACCCATCAGCTTATCCACGCAACGCGACACTTCGCTGATCAAGTATTTTTTTCGAAATTGAACAAAATCATTAGTGTCACGCTGTAGAGCGCATTCGATAGTGTCATGAAGTGTGCTTTTTACAGGCCTAAAGCAAAGCTGAAATTATAAAAACGTTGCACAAAATCAGTTTAATGCAAGTTTGCGGAGCACATTTTTGTTAGTGTGTTTTTTTAGACTTTTTTAACATTAAAAAATCGAGATAAGAATTCCTTCAGACATGGTCCAAATCATAGCATGATGTAAAGATAAATATCTAGAAAGTTTGTGTATATGCGAAGGATAAATAGATGCGACGCATGTTTGGAGAGGAATGGTTAGGGATATTTCGAACCTGAACTTACGTTCGAAGTTCGGCTTCGAACAGTTCGAGTTCGAAGACGTTCGATGTCGAAGTGTTCAGCTTTCGAACTCGAACTTAAGTTCGAGTTCGGGTTCGGGTTCGGGTTCAGAAGTTCAAGTTCGACATTACAGTAACGTTAACGTAAATTTAGGAGCAAGGTTGGCTAGACAGGGCACGTAGAACATGCCTGGAGCTTTCTTGATACTGCAAGCTTTGAGCGGATATAATTTCTCACCTTCTAGTTTCATGGTGCTTAATGAATTAGTGTTGCCTCTAGGAATCAGTGTCTCACACAGGCTGTAACCTGCAACATTGGGTCATTTTCAAAACAATCTGGGTTAGTCTATATGATCATAATATTTCACCTTTTAAGGTATTCTACATGTTTAGTCTATCACATATAGCAGTCTTACCGCGCTAGTAAAAATTAAATTGATTTAATTAATTTAATTAGCTTTTTATTATGGTTGTTTATACTGAATTTTGTATTAGAGCGCGGCACTGATCAGTACTACGTGTTGACATACCAAAACCATGCGGCATTGTCTCGGCACTTCTCTTATGAGAAGGAGAAGATGAAGTCAGAAAGACATTCGAAATATTAGAAGAATACTGTGGTGTTAATATAGACAGAAATTGGCAAAACAAACTGGTGATGGGAAACAAAACTTCAGCACTGATGTGCACCGGTGCAAGATTTTTACATTGTTTCCCAGAAAAAGATTATTCAGCACCGTGCACAACCAGTACCCATAAAATAACTTTTTGTAGGGTGTGCAAGACGTGACAAGATCTTCATCGTACAAGAATTTATCAGATCCTACAAGATTATGTCTCTGGTTCTGTCCTATAGATCCCCTATAGACTCTCTTTAAAAAAAGGCTTTTTTCTTTCATAATATTTTCAAGCACTGACGCTACTTGAAGAGCTTTAGAAAAGTTTGGAGTGCTAAAAGATGTGTTCCTTCAAGATTAGAAAACCAGTTGCTAGGAGGTGTCAGAAAAATTCGTATCTTAGCTAACTAAAGTAGCCTTAATTAAAGTATGAGTTTTTCTGATTTATAGTAAGCATAGAGCATTCGACTTGGACTTTAAGGTAGGCTACTTTTCCAAAAAGGTTTTGTCTAGTTTTTGAGTCATATGGTTGACAACATGAGTGTGTGGTTGTAAAACACTCTTTGTACATATCGATGAGATAGTATTTATTTAGTTTTGTATTTGATTTTCACTGCGTTAGCTCTTCCTTGCAATGGATTACACACCAAATAAGTTAAAGGAACGTTCCAAAATAGATTTGGGTCAGTCGAATGTTGTTTCTTACAGAAGACATCTGATTGGCGCCTGGGATAAAAAAACAAGTTAAAACATGCACCTTGAATAGCGTCATTATGCACTGTGAATACATTTTTTCATCATTACGATGTCTTACTACGGCATTTTTTATCCTCAAGTTAAGAAGATTCCATAGAAGAAAATTAATACTTTTTACAATATACGAATTAAACTGGAGATACCGGTTGTGAAAAATTGGGTGCCCTGAGCATCAATAGTTCTAGAAACTAACTGATTGAACCTTTTGCTCAACAATTTATGCAAAGTATTTGGCTAATCAACTTTCCTTTCCCTCAGTCCCAAAACAAAAAATCTTCTGTTGGAAAACTGTCTTGATAAAGTCTTGAAAGATTTGTCGAGGTCTTCGCAAGCCCTTCAAGAAAAAAGTTTGAACAGACCGCATGAAATCAGCGCAGCCCTATGTTGCGTAGAGAATCACTCCCGGAACTCTTTTGATCAAAAACTCAAAATCTGAGATTTTGATCAATATTTTTCCGGCAATAAGTGGTGAAAAAATGAAATGGAATTTCGGCAAGATGTCTGAGTTCCTGCTATTCTATGGTATGTGACCAAATGGAAAAGACTGATTTTGTGTACTTCTTTGTTTTCAGCAGCGCAAACTCATTGACCGAAAGTTTTGAATTTACAAAAAACTGAAAGGATATGGTAAATATCTCGGTAATTTTAACTGGTCAGAAAACAAAAATAGGAAATGAAATCTCCTTCTACCATTGTTTGAAAGTGCACGAAATAAGTACATCTTTTCCATTTCAGTGATGGAAACGCGCTTTTTCAAAGGACATCAATGACTCCTACTGAGCAGAGGTTTATGTGCTGACTTGTTTTACTTCAGATTAGCTTGAAACTAGTATTGTGAATCAGCTCAGCATTTTATTTACCCATGAATATTCGTTTCTTAGTTCTCAACATTATGAAGGAAAGTAGTTCCTTATACATGCAAACAGTATCAGTAATAATCATGTAGCTAAACATGCATTTTGTTCACATAACAGTTTTAATTGGATTCATGTTTGCACCTAGAGAGTAGTTATAAAAGGAGTAGCTGACTAATTCGAGTTCGAATATAACTACGATTTTACGAACAGAATACTATGAAACTTTCACAGATCCAAAACTTTTAAACAGCGATGCAGTTCGAATTGCGATGCATCATAGTCCGAATTTGAAGTAGGATAGACACATTATTGTAAAAGTTTAGAAAAGAAATTTTTCATCAGAATTCGAATTCGAACTGGGATTCTGCAAGATATCGACTTTAAATTCTTGTTCAGCTGAATTTCGGACCGGATGTGTCTTAGTGGCTCACTCTCAGCCATCCGACTACCCTCCCCGATGCACTTGACGTTGCATGAAAATGTTATTTTCGGATTTGTTTATTGAGCAAATATCGATTGAATATGTGTCTAGTGGTAGTGAAGTCAGCGATGAGGATTCATAGCTCTTCAGTACATATTTGATTATTTATTTAGTTTTCCCCTATTTAAGACGTGTTTTTTAGAACTATATTTAACTAGATTCTGCCTTGAGCTTCATCCAGGTAGATCATGAATATTGTGAGAAACTTTAATTAGATCAATTTTCGCTTCAGAATCTTCGTCAAGTATCCACATAAAAGATTACCCTACAGAACATACATCACCCAGCAGAGTCTAGTTAAATAAAGTTCTAAAATCTGGTTTGATCAAACCACCATCACTGCTGACACCATTAGAATTTAGGGTACAAATGTTTGCTAAATTGTGGTGAAACACCAGAATTCTAGTTCCGCTAGAACTCAGTTGAACACTGTTCAGTTGTTTTGTTTTAAAAATATATTTGCTCGGGAATAAAAAACATGTCTTAAATAGAGGAAAAATAAATAAATAATCAAATATTTACTGAAGAGGCATTTGGTATGAATCGTCATCAGCGACTTGATTATCACCAGACACATATTCAGTTGATATTTGCTCAATAAACAGATCTGAGAATAAAAAGTTCATACAGGGAAATAGAATAGTGTTAAGACCAGAAGATATTGTAGATGAATTGGGACACAAAGAAAATAGGGTTTCACACCGAAATGTCGCGTATTATTGGGATTGTTTCCGCTCTCTCATTCTTTGTGTTCTGCTAGCGGGTGAGTCCATCATTTACGACACATGATTGTGTATTCTACATCGTACTTGGAGGTCAATGCATTTAGTATGCATCAAATAGTGCTCTATTGTCCCTCTGATTCGTTATTAGGCCGTTCAATAGTATTTTTTTAAAAATCAATGAATAGAAGTAACAAGAATAATTGGGTAAAATAAATAAATTCTAAAGAACGTAACACATTGAACACTGCGTGAATACTAGTGAACTAAACAGTTAAATATGTAAATAGTTCATGTCGATGTGAATGTGAAATTAGATATCGCTTCAGTTTTACCTGTGCATTTCTGCCTGAAGTGCTGTAGAGTATGGTGTGAAAAGGCAGAGTAACTCCATCTGTCACATCGATTACTACTGCCTTTTAGGTACGATCAAGCCTGCATGTGCATCAGTATATAACACGACTGGTTTGAAACTTCCAATTAATCCTGATGGTTCAACGATTATGAATTATCCATTTGGTATATTCATTGATGCGAATGATGTCGTTTATGTGGCAGACATGAACAACAATCGTGTTTTGATGTGGATGCAGGGTGCAAGTGCGGGAACAGCGATCATTCAATCTACACAACCGCAGGGTGTCTATGTTGACAGTAGTGGATATGTCTATGTTGTTTCGAAAGATAACTCACAATATATATCTAAATATCCACCAGGCATCAATCAAACTGCAACATTAATTGGGCCGGTTCAAATAGCAGTAGCAGCAGTTACGCAATTTCTGGCGATCTGGCGGGCAACTTGTATGCCAGCGACTATGATATGGGCATAGTTAACAGATTCAACTTAACCGGAGGGAATTACTCAGGGCCAACGATCGTTGCAGGTACTTACGGCTCAATGGGAACTGGACCAAATCAATTGGGCGAAGCAGATTTCATTTACGTAGACCCTAGCAACGTTGTTTATATAAGCGACACTACAAACAGCCGTATTCAGAAATGGGTACCGCCATACACTGCTGGTGTCTCGATAACTGAAGTCGGCTCGTTAAACCATGTGGAAGGGATTGTGGTAGACCCGTGTAATGGCAATTTGTATGTCGCTGATCGATCTAATAATCGCTTGCAAGTGTTTCCTCCAGGTAATCTGACGGGGACAACGATGATTCCTAATACAGTACTATCATCTCCACTGGGCGTAGCGCTCGATTCAAAGGCAAATTTGTATGTTACTGATACCGTGAATAATTGTGTATTCAGATTCAATCGACTATGTAAGTATGTTTTCTATGTTGTAGACAAATGAGCTAGAAGAGAACACGTAATGGCAAATGTGCCACATCTGGTAGATGCTATTTGGCAATCCAGAACCTTTTGTCTGCAAAACTGACTTCGTACAACTAGATCACTGAGCAAGCAGACTTAAATGACGGAAAAGTTCTCTTGCGAAAAGCTGGTTTTCTAGAAAATTGTATGTTCGGGGCAATGCTTCAGCTTCGATGAACTAAACGTTTATAACTTGCGGACGTTACCCTGAATAAATAACCCTCAATAAGGTAGTCCCATTCTATACAAATGTATAGTTCAGAGATGAAAGGATGCCAGAACATATTTTAAATTTCAAAGACATATGCTGGCAATAGTGCTGTACTCAAGCGTTTAGAGACTTGGATGAATAGCTCTAATTACAAGGAATCGTTTTCTCTATGAGGGTTTTATAATTACATTTGACACTGACATTTTTTGCTTGAAAAAACTTACGAGAGACCATCGCCAGCTGCCAAACTCCGATTTCATTCTTTTTGACGATAAACACTATACAGTGTCATACTGAAAACCCTGAAAGGATTTGGGTGTATGACACTGCTTTCAAAAGTTAAGGACTTTTCTATTATCCCGGCCCAGAGTCTTGCCTAAATTTTAAAAAATTCATAAGTCCATCAAAAGGCATAGTAAAGAGGTAAGCTGTTTTCCTGTTTTACAGTCAGATGTCTTCTATCAACACAAAACAGTTCAGCCCCAGACAGATAATTCATTCCTGAGTTGTAGGATTTTTCAAAAATGCTAAAGAAATGTGTTTCACATGGACAGACAATTCATGTGGTGTCGACAAGTGCAGTGAAACAACATTCATTAGTTGTAGCTGGTATAAAAAACAACTTTACTTTAACCATTTCTTCGCCCAATACCGTTTCTGAAACTTGTACACGTCAAAACGGCATGCAGTGTAATCTCAGAAACATGATGGATTAAGGGGTCAATTAGCTCCCACTTTGCAAAAGACACTCCTGGCTACCGCCGAGTTTCCAGAGGATCTTTAATAAACCAGCTGCATTCTCAGAATACTAACATACAATGTTAGCAATATTTTTGCAGGCCGAGATCGTTCGGACGTTACTCAACAAATTAGGCAAGTCCGGCTATCCAGCTATCCTCGTTCGGACAGGGCTCCCTTTTCCCGAGCACGTGTCTTTCTCCGAGCAGACATCTCTGGGAATCTCGAAATGCCATAGAATATCGATAATCGACTACGCTGAGCATAATTGGCAACTTTTGTTTCTGTGTCGAATTGAGTATAACTTCGTCAGAGACGTTTTTGTGACAAATCGGTTTTTCGCCTGTTACTAAGAAAAATTCAAATTCGTATATCTCCACCAGATTTCATGCTTACTCAAGGAACCTTTCAGGAAAGACTTAAAAGGTCTCATATTTTTCTGATCACAAAACAATTCAGCCCCAGACAGATAATTCATTCCTGAGTTGTAGGATTTTTCTAAAATGCTAAAGAAGCGTGTTTCATATGGATAGACAATTGATTTCGTTTCGACCGGTGTAGTGAAACAACATTCATTAGTTTTAGCTGGTATAAAAAACAACTTTACTTTAACCGTTTATTTTGTTTATTCATTATTCATTATTGTTTTAATCAACTTCTTATTGCGTCTGTATTTATGGTAGGCTCCCGTTTCCGTTTTTCCATTGTAATGTATCTCACGTTGAGTTCAGTTTTATTGTTTTATTTTAAGTTTCACAAGACAGTTTTCTGTGGTAGTTTAAGAGATGTTACTGTGCTACAGGAAAAATTGTTTCACCATGCTTTCTGACAGAGTTGTGAAGGTTTTAAAGTGTGGGCAAGGCTCTAGGCCCGGAAAATAGAAAAATCCTTAAGTTTTGAAAGAAGCGTGGTACACCCAAATTCTTTTTTGGGATTATCATTAGGACAGTATATAGTGCGTGGACAGAAGATCGTTGAACTCGGAGTCGGACACTTGTCGATGGCGCCTCGTTAGTCAGAAATGTCTAATCAGAAATTCTGACTATTTGTAATTTTTATCAGAAGAGGCCTGACATATTCGTTATGTTGCCAAAGAACAAAACACGCACAGAAAATGATTTGCATTACTGTTTTTGATAACATCGTAGTTGATAATGAAGCTCTTCACGTTTTCTCGAGGACTAACACACTAATGCACTTTACTATTTTTTTGAAATATAGAGTTTCGCCTAGCAACAATGCTGAAGCAAATACATAATGCATTAATTTGTAATTCTGTGGGTTCTTAACTTGATTAAAAAATTAACACATTAAGCTTTGTTCGTTGTAGAGTTTGTTGGCCAATGAAGGTTTTTGTGCTTGGAAAGTCCGCAGGAACAATATAATACAACCTTTTGAGTTCTCGTTGCAAAATATTTATTGTAAATGTGTTTTTTCGTTTTTTTTGGTTCTCGTTACTGGAATTGTGTTTTATTTTTTTAGCGGCTTTAAATAAAATATAAAGAAATAATGATTTATGGAAGCATATTAATGTTTATTCGCGTTCTGCGGCAGAAAATGTTTTGAACTTGGCAATAAATTGAAAGGACTTTATTTATTTGTCATTTTAATTAAAAAGGACGAAATGTTTTGTCTCTCTTCTTCAAGATATCCTTTAAACGGGTAGAAGAAAGTTATGATGCTATAATGTAGGAATTATCAAAATTAAAAAATCTAACTAATCGATTTCCCGGAAAGAACAGAAAATAGAACGATGGAAACTTTTCTCAAATAATCACCATTCAACGTTTAATGATTAAATGATCCCTCAGTGTTTTGAGCTATAGCAACTGTAATAACCAAACAGAAAAATCACATACCGAGATCAGGTATAGTTCAAAAATTTTCTACTAGACTATTTTCGTAAAACTAGAAAAAGCGGAATATAAAAGTAAGATTAAAAGAAACATACGAATAAAACAGTAAAATACAATAAATTCATAAAAATACCGCTTTTGCTTTATAAAAATTCCACTAAAAAAGTTTATCTTGTAAATGTCAAAGTACTGTAGAATTTTGGATACTGAATCGAATCGTGGAAGCACATATGATTAATTATAAATCGATGACCGATGATTTTGTCCTTATTACTCTGGTAAACATCTGAAAGGACAAAGAATAAACAACAGTTATTATCGTACGTAGAGCACAATGAAGCAATGAAAGCAAAGATCTTCTATTCAACCCAAAAAAGGACTATCACTGACTTCAAACTTCGTTGTTTCTATTTAATGCTGTAATGTTAAAAGTACAGTGTACCACGATCACTTCTTAGAGGCGCTGCTTCAATTATGCATTGACTATTCCCAATGAGTCTGATTCGAATCGTAGCCGTATTGAAGCAAGCTTCGCAATACCACCAGATAAGAAAGCTAAATATTTTTTGAAAACATCAATGTTTGATTCTGTTCGATAGGGTAGGACTATCAAAACATTTCCGACTTCTTTCCAATTAACGCAAAATCCGTTTTCTTCATCCAAAAAATATGTTTTTGTTTGGATATATTCACGGAAATACACCTGAAATTCTATAAAAGGAATATTTGTCAATGTTCATCGTTGTACGATGGTCATCTTTTGTTTTCAGCGTTTTTTATACAAATTTAGAGAAAAGTTATATTAGAAAAAGTAACCGAAAATTATTCTTTATAATAATGTGAAATAGTTGTCGTCGACGTGTCCGGTTCTATGAAGAACAGCCTTCAATTGCATGTTCAACCGACTGATCAAGATGTAACTCGCGCTCAATCGATTTTTACTACTATCATGAATATAGTAGAACGTGAAGTGGACTTTCGACACAACCATGATGTGTTCGTTCTAGCCTTTGGATTGCAAAATATTGCTACATGCAACTTACTTGCTTTGTTAGATTATATTCAAACAATAGATCTTAAAAGTGATGGTAAAGGTCACCGAAATCTCATCCGATTGTTCACACAATGGAGCACCATATGCTGATCAATACGTGAGAAAATACGTTTCGGAAAGACAAGCACAGTTTCTGTTCAAATTTTATTCAAAAAACGAAAATCGTGATATACTAACTGATATTGTACAACGATTATCGAGAGTTTGCAAAGAGAATGGCTTGGTATCCACCGCAACCAAGGGCAGTTTATGTTTGATGAATGTGTTATACCCTGTGCAGACGGGGATATGACGGAAAAGAGTCAGACTAAAAGAGGAATCGAACACGCAATGAAATATGCTAAAGATGTCATACGACAAAGATCTTTGGCAAATTTAAGAGCGATGGAAAAACCTCGAAGTAAGACCTTCCAATCCACTGCGAATCTGTTGAAGCAAGCAACTGGAACATGGACAGACTCATCAGCAACACAGTCAACGTTTGCATCTGCCCAGCTATCAGCGTTAGTTGATTCCATTGAACCCTTCATTTATAGAACTACTCCAATGTGTAAAGCCATGCAGTCTGCTTTCAATACATATTGTTCCAATACTCATGAACAGAAATTTCTCTTTCTACTGTCGGATGGAGAATCGACAGACGGGAATCCTGTACAATTCGCTTCACAACTACGTGGTCAAAAAGTGCTTGTTTTCGCTTGTTTATTAACCTCGCAAAGCATCTCCTATCCACGACGATTATATTATGAAGCTGATCCCAACTGGAATCAGGCTCAAAGACAAATGTTTAAACTGAGTTCTACAGTAGAAAATTGTCATTCAGCAATGTCGATCCTTCTGGAACAAGGTTGGGAATTGCCTGCCGATGGTCAGAGCCGTCTTTTAAATTAAAGAATTTTCAAACCTAATGAATTATATATCCGAACATAATGATGTTTTACTAAATATGGTCGGTCGTGTCTCATTAGATATGTACATCAATGCTGCCAATTCGAGCTTCAGAGTAAAAATACAATCAGGTGGTACTTGTTATGCTCATGCTGTTGTCACTGTATTTTATTTGGCAACGCGTCGAATTGAAGATCGGGAAAATGGGGTATCTGGCTTCGCTGATATCTGTCAACAACTGATCAATGCATATGGTGAAGAAGGTGCAATTACTGAAAATGTTCTGAATATATGGCCTCCCAAATACCGTCTACATTACGAGAAAGTGAATGAACTCGATTCACGACAAGCAATCAATCAACGACGACCAGTCGTCGCGACATTTCGATTAAATGATCAACAATGGGCGCTTTTAAGATGTTTTACGAGAATTGTCCACAAGGTGTATTGAAAAGTAAAGACTTAGGCCGAGCGGGACTCGGAGCAAAATTATCTGGACATGCTGTTGTGCTGATGAAGTGTGATCCGATCAGTTTAACATTTATTAACTCATGGGGCACTGAGTTTGCAGATAAAGGTTTTTTCCAAGTTTGAGAGCAAGCGGTATTAAATCTACAGTTTTATAATGTTTATTGGACTTTAGATGGTTTGAAGCCAAGTGAAATTCGAGCATTTCAAAGGAAGAGTAGTGAAACAGGACGAAATCTGATAGAAAAGCTACCACCAGGTATTCAAAATATACCTTATGAATATCCTCATTGTCGTCGATGTTCTGCCGTACGTACATTCATAATACATTTCTCGGATGCAGAATGTCCTACATGCAATCGATATTTCAAACCAACTCCATTGGGACTCAACGTCACTGCCTATACATATTAAAATATGAAGACATTAATCCTGTTCATTTGTGACTCCCGATATCTTGATATTAAAAAACTAGATGCGAAGGGACGAATCAGTAGTCATCGGGGGGTTTAAGGAAATAGCAACTCGATCTAAGTATCATATTTCATCATGCACTAACGATTATTGGCTTTCAGTTGTTTTCCAATGACCCAAGAAAACAGCGACACTTTTGAAAATAAAATAAAAAATCCGTAAAGATAAATAACGAAACAAGAATTTTACATGACACTAAATGAATGATATTAAAATCAATTTTATAATCATCTTTTAGAAATTAATATTCGAACATAAAATACTAATCTTGAAATCATCATACAATAACTTTCCAAAGATGATAAAAATGATATTTCAATAAGCAATCAACAATTTAACTGAATGGAAACAAAAATACATAAGTTAAACGTACGTAGTTCTATTTATTCAAACATACAGACATTTTGCATAAAAAGGGAAACTTAAGAATAAAGTTAACAACAAAAACATAGAATAAGAATCTATACTAGATGACAAAAAAAGAGTTGAAAATCAACAACAACAATAATAATAAAGAAGTTAGATTGTTTATAGGAAAAATATCTCAAAGTTAATAATAGTTGATCAGAATGAGATTTATTAAAAGAAAAAATGTGCTGGTGCAAGAATCTGGTTCATGAACAGAATAATCTTCTTACTTTCAACTATTCAAAACCACTCGGAAATTGGTAACTAAATTATTTTTTCTGATAAACAGAGTTCTGATAAACATCTCTTCAAAATTCAAGATTTCTCTCTCAAATTCTTCGTCAATATCACTGGTAGTAAAAAATATTTCCTCACGGCGCGACAAATAATCCTTGTTAATACAACTTAGATTCAATAAGAGATTAACAACACTTCGCTCAATTTTCCACCATTCACCGTAATCGTCATATGACACATTACTGATCCTTGAGAACCATTGATGCACTTCCAACAAAGATACAACATGAGCCTCAGAGAGAGATTCCAATACCGCCCTGCATTTTTATCTAGAATATAAGTTGAGAAACCTGTAAGAGACACAAATAGAAACAGTCGTACTTGATTGACGGACCAATCTAAATCTGAAACTAATCGAACAACATAATTCTTTCTCGGCAATGACTGACATCAAGATATGCACTCATCCGCCACTATTAGACACTATGAAGAATCGAATGCTTTGTCAAACTTACTCTCAATCATATATAGGGTTCACACCGGAAAAAATCCAAGAGAGAAAGAGATAAGAAAATAGGTGAAGTTTTTCGATAAAGACCAATAAAAACGAGGAATAGAATGGGAAAGAAACAACTGAATATGCAGAACGAAAAGATAAGAATGTTGATGTAATCGAAAAAATGTTCGTGTCAGTCCATAATCGAATCGCTGTCGATCACCTGGTACGTTGTTGACAAGATAGATTAGCGAACCAGGTAGGAATTGATAGCCCTTGTGGAGAGCTCCAAAACCAACACCATCATCGGATGTTATTCTTCCACTACTATTTGGCGTCCATACGTAAATCATAAACGAATTTGCACACGCTTCAAACGCCTTCGCGATCTCTATCTTGTTTTGATTGACTCGTTTTTGATTCGCTTCGATCAAACCTGGAATGTTGAAGATCGTAAGCGTAACCCCATTCACTGTGATTTGATCTTACTTCGTTTTTACTGTCACCGCCATTGAATTACACCGGTCAGTCGAACAGAACATTGCAAAGATATTAACTTGAACAACTTTTGAAAACTGCTATAATAACGTGTAGATATAAAACTAACGATAAAACTTGGTGCCTAATGGAACCTAGGTTACGACAGCAGTAATATCTGCCACTTTATAATAACTTGAAATAGCAGCAAACTAATTCTTTCTTCCAAATGATCGTGATGTTCGAACTCATCTTCATAAGTGTATACAATAAAAGACTTTTGTGCAGTCACTTCGTAGTAAGAAAATTTTCACGTGTTTCTTTCCTTCTTTATAACTACATCTTCCTTTTCTCTTTATAATGTGCTTAAGAGACGCTTCGTCAAAGCATCAAGCATACCTCAAAAGAGCCGTAACATGAAATTTTTTAACATATACTTTTTATTAAATTTTTGGATTCTACAATCAAAACTAAGGTTATGAAAAAATTATTAGCCTTCCAGACGTTATTTTGACTGAGTTATAGAATTTACAAAAAGAGGTTCATCGAAAAACTGCGAAAAAGAGTTATGAGTGATATTTTGTCTGTAACTTCGTCAATTTTTGTCCATTCTGTTCGAGCAACTTCTCATTCGAAAGCCCATTAAAAACCGAACAAAATGATGTGTCGTTTAGTTTTTTGAAGGTCGATCTGGGTTCTCCAGAGTCCAACCAAGTGGAAAACCACAGTTTGGAAAACCGCATTTTTTGGGA